TCAATCTCAACCAATGCCAACAGTACCATGATAGGAATACCCGACCCATGATAGGAAGAGGGTTATCTACCATTCACCTCTGTCATGGGAAGTGGAAGAGAAGAAGATCTTCTGTTTCAAAGACCCTCATCATCATTTGTGCATGTCCATTACAACCAACATCAGTACCCCGGAAAAGGACATCTGACAACAGTAGTAAGGTGGACAGCAATGGAAAGGAATTGTCCAGTCCATCAAAGGAGAAGAATACCTGGGCCACTCAAATGTGAGGATTTATGTGGCTGGTCCAGCTCCAACCAATATCAGTACCTCCCAGGAACCAGCATCCAGGTGACAGTAGCAAGGAGGGTGCCCAGCCAGATTGGCAAACTACACTGTGACAGAAATCATCCAGTCCATAACCAGGTGGCATCTGGAATAGAACATCAGGTCCATGGTAGGAGGAATGTCATATATACCATCTAAAGCAGCAGAACACCACTGCCCTACTCTCAACTGAGTGGAACTGAAAACACTAAGGAAGAAGTCTCCATGGTCCACCACCCCAGCAGCTAAGAGCTGGTAAGTGGTAAGTACTCACATACTCCTCTGGAAGAAGAGGGAGGAATGCATTGGAAAGTCTGGAGAAATGCAGAACCAGAGACAGTGCAATGGGTGACTGAGAAATCATATTTTGAAAAGCATACTGTTCCTGATACAGCCAAACCAAAGAGCAGCAGGGATGTGTAGCAATCCCCTTTATTCATGCTAGTCCATGAGTGTATGGTCCAGGGTGAACATATTTATGATGCAAAACACTGTAAGGAAAAACCTACAAGCATTTTTGCAAAACACCCCATCTCAACAGTGTGCATTAATAACCAGAATGGTTGTCCAGTGTAGGTTTAAGAATAAGTATACCTGGTAACCACTGAACAGGATCTGTATACGTGAGAGAGGCCCCTGTAAAAAAGAATAGTATAAACAGAGCACTTACCCACTCACAGAGAAACTGTAGAGCTCAAGATTGTGATGGGAACCTGTAGAGCAGAAAATAGCCAGATGATGAAGATGATGTGAGATAAATGTAAGACGAATGGTCCATATGCCAGCAAGAACTATATCCTCTAAAGGATAACAGAATTGGGCAGCCATGGGAGGAGACTTGGAAGAGATGACAATCATCAGGAGTGAGGGAATAATAAGCCAGGCAAGTCCAACCTGTAAAGGTAATTAACCCTACCGCCCTGGGTACCCTTTACTGTGCATGACACAAGGTTTTAGTGTCTTACATTCAAAGTCTTATTAAACTACTTTTTGTTTAGGTTATACCAATTAGAATAGCAAAAACTCTCAGTTAATAATCCATATTTTAATAGTATACATGTTTTCTTAATTCTACAAGAAAATATATACAAACTCCTGAATTTCCACTAGTGTGACCCACGTGACACATTTTGTCTTAGCATGTCAACCCCCTTTGAAAATGTACGAAATTAAACATAAAAATACTTTCTATAAAATGGTTACAGAGATAACAAATAGAAAATCAGATCCCTCCCTGCCACACCCAGCTGTCACATCATCTCTTTCACAATTCGTTGATAGTTCTCTCTTACATTTCATTATATATTACTGTTATGTATTACAATTTTGAATGGTCTGAAACTGAGTTAAATGAAAATTTAAATTTAGTGGTTAAATTGAACTTTGGATTTAGCAGTTAAGTAAAAGCTGATATATAGTCAGTTTATGGTATTTGCCAATAAGATTGATACAAACAATTGTCTTTTTATTTAATACAAATATATTTTAATACACAAACAGGTTTATATGCAGAGATAACTCCACTACATCCCAAAATCTCCTGTGTGCCCAGATAAGCACCCCATCCCAAAATAGAAGCATCCATGAAAAGTTGCACCTCCAGATAGGAAGAAAGACGAGGAACACTCACTGTGGTGATGTCTCTGTTCAACCACAAGGCAAAGTCCACATGAAAGGAAGGGGAGAGAAGGATAGGTGCATCCAAAGGATCACGAATGAGGTTCCACTGATCCTGTAAAGCCTACTGAAGATGTTGCATGTGGGTTCGACCAAGGGGTATGAGGGGCTCTAAAGAAGCCCACATCTCCAAAAGAGATAAAACCTCTCATGTAGTTGGAGAGGAGAAATGGTCCGAATCAGAAGCTCCATTGACTGCAGGTGAAGGGAAAAATGTTGGGCCTGGCTGAGACAAGAACTGAAAAATACCCTGAGATAAACAAAGTATTAATTAGGGGTGAGGAAGGACTTCTCCACTTTGACCAGCCATCCTACCCGTGCAGCTTCTTGAAGAAGAAACTAAGTGTGAAGAAAAGAGATGGCATGGAAAGGAGCTAGAAAAAGCCACTCATCCATATAACAGTGGAAACAAAGGCCTCTGGAATGGAGAAGACGGGCAAAGACTTTGAACACATGACAAAAAATAAAGAGAGCCAAAGCCAACCCAAATGGAAGATCCGGAACTGGTGTACATAATCCTGATGAACAATATTAAGAAAATGCTGGGGAGATGGGAATGTGGAGCTAAACATCTTAGACATCTACCTGCATTATTCATAGACCAGGAGTGAAACTCCATCAAATAGATAGGTATGACTACATGATGAATCGAGGAAGGTCTATGAAGCAGTTCAAAGAAGAAAGACCGATGATGGGGCACCAGTCCCCAGTCTATTTGGGGAAAATGAAAAACGAGAATATAAACCTGGATGAGAAGGATCCACCTGTTCCACAACACCCTTGTGAAGAAGATCTAGAACTACCTCGGAAAGATGCTGGCTGGAAATGGGATCTGGAGTAGGAGGAAATGATATGAAATGAAAGAACAAGGGAGGAGGAGAAGAGAAGTGAAAAACAAGCCCTTCTATGAAGGTCTATGAAGCAGTTCAAGGAAGAAATACTAATGATGGGGCACCAGTCCCAGTCTATTTGGGGAGAATGAAAAAACAGAAATTTAAACCTGGATGAGAAGGACCCACCTGTTCCACAGCATCCTTGTGAAGAAATTCTAGAACCATCTTGGAAAGACACTGGCTGGAAATGGGATCCCGAGTTAGAGGGAAGGATAAGGGATGAGGGGACAGGAGAGGAGGGGAAGAGAAATGAAGAACAAGCCCTTCAGACACCCATACAGTCCAGAATACAAAAGCCTGGCCCCCACCAGATGTGTACCTACTAAATAGTCACCAAAACTGTCAGAGGCACTAAAATCGTAGATAAAAAAACCAATGGTTAACCTCTGAGACCTGTGTAGCAGGAACCAGTAAAGGAGAGGAAGGAGGGAGACAAGACACGAAAACAGGTTCAGGAGGAGGTTGGGATAAAGGGGAAGTCAATGAGAAAAGGGAAGTGTGCAAATTTGCAGAATTGACCCTGGACTCCAATACATCAGGGAGACCCCCAATGATATCTTGCCTTAAAAAGGAAGTTTGTGGTAAACGTACAAAGGACAAAAGGGCATCCCAAATCCAAAGATCTCAACAGAGGAGCCACGTTTGGAGGGTAAGAGCAGAAGAGGACAATTGTGCAAGAGTGAAAAAATATCAGAAGACAAGTTTTCACCATAAACCCTTCAGGAGAACGATGAAGAGCCTCAGATGAAAGGTGAATCAAGGAAAAAGAACAAAGGAGGGAGGATAAAGTGTGGCAGATAAGGGAAAACTGAGGTAGGGAAAATGTGACCAAAGTATTGGGATCCAAACCCCAAAGTGGCAGAAGATAATCCAACTGCTGTGAGTACCAAAAAAAAAAAGGCAGACTGATGGTAAGCCAAAGCATGAGCTTTCATATAACATGTGAGTCGAGACATACTGACCCCAGAATTTAATTGGTCCTCAAACCTAATGGCATGATCTCCAGTATCAGGTAAGGGGGGGGGAGAGGAATCAAAGGAAATGGGAGACAAAGAAAAAAACATAACAAACTTATTTGATCAATTTTAGGAAAGGAGGAGGAGGCCTGTGCAAATCCACTGGAACTAAACATGACTGTGTAGCATAGGATGGGGGAGGAAACAGGCTGTCAAAATAATTGTTCTCATGTTCAGGTACCCCTGAACAAGGCATGACAAGATAATCTTCAGGCAAATCAGAAGCCCGCATGAAGGTAGCTAACTCCCAGAGAACCAAGGCCGTAACATCTTCTGCCAATAATTGCAGACCCAAAATCATTGTAGACAAAGTAAGGTTAACTGCAATAGGAACAGCAGGTAACATTAACTCTCTCAATGCGGGCTCGGTCAATTTGACTGACAATGTGATCTCTTTGTACTTGTTCAGTCTTTATAGATTTGATACTACTAACTTTTAATATAGTGTGTAAATCTACACGAAATTCAGCAGTCTTTCATTAAACATTACAAGTCTTTCACATATATTAAGAACTTAAAACTTGTATGCTATTAAAATACGGATTATCAGTCATGATTTTATACTATACTAATTGGTATAACATAAATAAAAAGTAGTTTAACAAAATTTTGAAAGTAATGTAAAACCTTGTGTCATGCACAGTATTTGGTACCCATGGCGATAGGGTCAAGCTGTATAGAGGAAATCAGATGTGCTAGGAGTTGTGTTGCACTCCTACTGGTGGAGGGTTTTTGCACACTCATTTGTATGTTATCATGCAGATGCCTCATGTGAAAATGCATGAAGGTAGGTGGGAGTATCAAGGTTAATGGTGATGGAAAATTTGTGCATATAGAGGGCAGTTCAAGTGGATAAAACTATTATGTGAGAAGAGGTAAGTCATCATATTGGAATTCTTTGTTTTTTAACATAAAAAAGATAATTTAAATAAATACAAACAGAAAAATAAATTTGAAAGATATCTCTATGTAATTTCAGTTTAAGATACTTTTTATATTCTACCAAAACTTATAATCCTCCCCCTGTAGAAAAATGTAATGAGGTACACAGATACATGATTAAAAATACAGATTTAATTTGTCAGATACTACAAGAAAGACAACTCACCATAGTTTTCAATGTCTTCCGGCATATCATAATTTATAACATGTTGTATATTCTCAAAGTCCAACCCTTTAGAAGCTACATCTGTGCCAACAAGAACGTCCTTCTGACCTTTTCGAAAAGCTTCCACTGAACGGGATCTCTCTTCTTGATCTTCAGAAACAAAGTTTTTTTTTAAAAAACAATCTCCTTAAACAATACCTTAAAAAAATAGGATTTTGACTTACTACTACTCTTGAAAGTCATGAATTGTAAAAAGGCTATTGTAAATGGTTAGTTTTTTTTATCTTAATTACTTTTTCATTCATTTGGAAAGCAATAAAATCCAGAGTAGAACTATTCAATTTAGTAACAAGCTAAAGATAAGGTAAAATAATAATAGACGTAACAAAAAAAACATCTTTCTCCTATAAGCTGCATGACATTTTCAGTTTTCACGTAAGAGAAAAAAAAAAAAACTCCTGATGTCTAAAAGACAACTTTTAGATGTGTAAAGTACAGTAGTCAATTTCATTTACAGATCTGTCTAAAAAGCAGACTAGCTGGATAAAATGTTCGGGATACTTGCTTATATTTTTTTCATGGTTCCCACACTTTCAGACTGACAAAATAAAAAAACCTTTCCAGAGCACTAAGCAGTTTTCTAGGACCTTTCAAAGTTTATCAGTAACTAAATTAAACACTTCATGCTAAACTATCAGTTCTTTTTTGTTAGTCTGTCATTAAATAGAAAAAAATCCATTACATTTGTTCAATAATAATCTTAGTTTGACAATACAGCATATTTTCTAAAGATTTTTTCTGTTTTGTATTTTAGTGAGACCATCAAAAATTATGTATAAAAGGTACTATAAAGCACACACATTAACATACAAGTACTAATAACAAACTGAAAGTGAGATGATTTAATTTCTACAGTGTTATAAAAACAATAAAAAAGTAGTATCAAAAAAGTTTAAAGAGGGGGTTTAAAAAAAGATGCTAAACTGTTAGTTTAGCATCATCTGCTAAAGTGAACAATGTGTATTTTAGAATACAATTTTTAATGAAAAATAAATAAATACAGTTTTCCTACATCTTAGAAAATGATAAATTAATGATCAGAATGATAAAGCAGAGGAGGTTAGCTACCAAATAAGTGTTTAAATCTACCAAACATTGGCTGATTACAGGCTAATTACTTCATGTTAATAGCGTTTGAGACCTAGCCTAGTGGTGGTCAGTATCCTTAGTATTTACGAGTTGAAGGAAGTTGTCAATTACCAGGTAAAAACATTTGCTGGTACTCTGTCCAACAGACTCTAGAACCAGTTCATCAGTGCTCAATACATTTCCTTTTTAAAATTTTTATTTGCTCTTCCAAAAAACAGGATTGAATCCACCAAAGCATCTTTTATACAACATATAGAATACATTCAAAACAAGAACAAATATTCAAGTAAAACAAGTATTTACTATTAGAAGAAAAAATCATAGTAGACAGATTACCACATACACTGACTAGTCCAATTGAATCAGGGATTAAATCTGACCACAATTTGAAAAACAATGCCAAATCAAATGTATTTTCTGTTACAATTTACCTATTAAATATGAAGTTTATTTTCTTCCTTAACTAATAAGTTTTCTATGTGCTTATTCACAAATTCAACTGCAGCCAATAAAGACTCAATGATGGCAGGTGAAATGAGAATAAATAATTAAAACACAGATTATTATTCATCCATTATTTGTTCATTTTTACAGCATTTACAGCATTTCAGGCCAAGGAGAAAAATATCGTATATTACCATAATTTCACCAGCTTCCTAAGTCTATAGAATCATCACTGACTCAACCATTAATGTTTCTAATAAATATATATAGGTGTATGTTTAAATGATTAAGTTCAAAACTAAAGTATTCTATATTGTTTTTAATATCTGTTTATTTCAAAGCATTCATTATTATTATTTTTAAATGAATGGATTTATTGATGTTTACCTTTGCCACCATGAATTGCCACAGCCTCAACTCCTTTCAATAGCAAATATTCATGGATAGCATCAACATCTTGCTTTTTCTCTGCAAATATCAATACCTAAGAAAAGAAACATTTTTGTCTACAACCAGTGCAAAATAATTAACAAGCTCAGGCACACATTAAAATTTAGATTTTTTTATGTTACATGGTGTACTAAAGATGATAAAAATAGGGAAACAAGAATTTTTATAAACAATAAAAAAATTTAGGTGCACAATTATTAAAAAAATTATGGTAAAACCCTCAGCTTGTAAGATAAACATGTGATATACAAAAACCATATAAAAATCAATGATTGGACAAGATAAAATATTTCATAGCAGCAGTGTATGCAACTAGATATCAGAAAAAATCTGATTTTTAGTACTTTCAAGACACAGAAATAATAAAAAAAAAACCTCTGACAACAGGCTTAACAAGATCAACCAAGTTTGTGATCCCAAATTGACATTTATAGTTCCCACACTATAAGTTCTAATATGTTTTGTGCATCTTCACAACATTTCAAAAGCTTTTAGTACACATTCTTTTATAACCAAAAAATCTGAATTTTTAATGAAGTATTTTCACTAAAAATTTCTCCATGAATATATGAAGTTAAAGTGTTGACTGTTCAGAGTGCAAAGTGATTTTTATGTTAAGATTAAAAATGCATTTCTACATCTGAAGATTCTAAAATTTCTTTTGGGTAATCTCTAAAACCTCCTAACCAAATTTCAAACGTTTTTTCAGTAAAACTTTATATTTTATCTGTGATTTTCTCTACCCTAACTCTATACAAGGTTGGTCAGTTTCATCTAATTCATAACCACCACAAAAAAATATGAAATATAGTACGTAACTGGATCTTTTTTTTCTTCTACTGACTGTCAATGAAACTTAACCATATTTTTTTTATAATAATGGTACTACTACACTAAACTCTTGCACCTAAGAATACAAAATAATGTGTAAAAAGCAGACAAATGCCCTATAACTATTATAATTTTTCTGGCTTTCTAACTATTCAATAAGAGCAGTTAAAAATTCAGCTAAGCTCAGTGATGTGTTTCATGTGGAAGTGAAATAGATGATTCACCGTACAGAAAACAAAGTTTGATTGATTAAAATTTTTGGCTTTCTATTGATTATAATTATATAGTATTAAACATCAGGAAGAGCTATTGACAATTTGTGAAAGAGAGGATGTGCCAGGTAGGCATGGCAAGAGAGGCCCGATTTTCTAGTTTATGGTTCTATAACCAGATAAGATTGATATCTATAAAAGTTATGCTTTGCCTGAGCAATGGAAACATTATAATTATAAAACATTAAAAACATTAAATTAAATTTCATATTTCTCGGAGGAATGGTAAATAACTTAGACAAGAGGGAATACCTACAGAGCAAATGTCACAATTCTCATACTATGGGAAATTTAGGTTTTTATTTTAAATATTGCCTTATAAACTTCAGAACTTAAGACATATATAATATTGAACTTTGGATTATTAGCTACATTTAGATGGCAAGTTTATTTGTATATCATAATAATAAAGTATTTTTAATTAAATTTTGAATATAACTCAGTAAAATCTTATGACATGTACAAAAAAGAATGCCCGTATGAAAAGAATTAAAGCCTTTTAAGCAATTTTTAGTTATAATTCCATTGAAATCATAAGGAATTTCTAAAATTTAAAGAGTTGTATACTTAAAGTGCTCGAAAACTAACTTTTATTCTTCTAAGACCTTGGGTATTCTAACAATTATTCCCAAATTCATAATGGTTAATGGTTATAGATCTGGAATTCAAATGCCATGAAAAACTAATCCTGAAATACTAAATGCATACTTTCAGATAAAACAGATAATTTTTAATTCCAGAAGTTGTACAGACTTACATAAATGAACAAAATCTATGTCACCCTACTTCTACTACAAAACATAATATTCCATAACCAAAGTTCTTCTAGTATAAGTACAATAACCAGTAAAGATATTTTATTTTCAAAGAATAAACAGAGTATATATATTTACCAGGTCCTACAATTTTTTTCCCAATTCTGGAAGAGTACATTTTTTAAAATCAAATAATAAAGGATCACTTATGTCTAGAGGGTTATTTTTTGTATAATTAATTTGTGTTGATAAACTATCAAAATATTTAAATTATATCTTTTGGAAAAAGTAATGTAAAGTTTATCAGATCGTTAGTTTGTTGTTTTGTTTAACCCTATCACCCCTGGTACTCTTTACTGTGCATGACACAAGATTTTGGTGTCTTACATACAATATTTTTTTAAACTACTATTTTGTTTATGTTATACCAATTAAAATAGCATAAAATCTTAGCTAATAATCCATATTTTAGCAGTATACAAATTTTAAGTTTTTAATTCTATTAGGTAATATTTAAAAAAAATCCTGAATTTCCACCAGTGTGACCCATGTGGCACATTTTCTCTTAGCATCATTCCTATTTTATCCACCACCCCTCAAAAAGTATGAAATTAAATGTAAATTACTCTCTATAAAATCGTTATGGCTCAGACAAACCATAATTTTTAAAATCTTCAATTTTGTTTGGTTACAGAGTTATCAAATAGAAAATCGGACCCTTCCTGCCACATCCTCTTTCAGAATTCATTGATAGTTCTCTCTTGCATTTCATTATATATTACATATAACCAATAGAAAGTCAAGGTTTTCATCTATCAAATGACATATTATATAATGTTGTGTTCTGAACAGATATGCATCAATTTCACTTATAATATACGGTTCATTCTGATGTGAAAGTTAATGACTAGCTTAGAGGAATTTGTAACAGCTTTTGTCGCATAGTTAGAAAGCAGGAAAATTTTGAGGTAAGTGAATTTGTCTAATTTCTGCATGTCATTAGTCAATGTTTTTTGGTGCAATATTTAATTAAATAAAAATTAAGTGCATTACTATCTATTGTCTAAAAAATTAGGGTTAACTCTCTGAAACCTGATAGCAAGAAAAAAGAAGATTGGTTGAGTATTCTATTTCTTGTTTTTCATGTTTATTCTTTATGTATAATTATAAAAGTAACTAAAATGTCAAAATTGGGATCCTTTTAGGTTTGTTAAGAGCAGACTAGTTAAAATAAATAATAATATTATAATAAAAATGTTTCACGAGGAACACAGGCAAGCAGCTCATGGGTAATGTAATTCGTTAGCGTAATGTGAGCTGCATGTTCCCCGAGTGATTTACAATTTATAATGGTACGGATAGTAGTTAGACACAATTCAAAGGGCAATAAAACAATAAAACTTAATTATAAATAGATGTATACTGTTATGAACTTAGAGCTACTTAGGATAAACGAATGTAGTTTCATGTTACAATTTGAGTTCATTCTAGAAAGAAAAAGGGTAGCTTAGGTTTATTTCTCTTTTC